TCCGTGAGGGACAACAAAATATTTGTTTTGTTGACAACGCCAACTTAATGTATCATTTTTGTAATTTTGCCGGTGAATGCTTAACAAAATACTTGAATCATATTAATGTCAATAAAAATTAAGCATTATTATTGGTGAATGCGTAACAAAATACACCCAAAGTTACCAAGATACTTGAGTACAAAATAGGAGTAATTCACGCTATAAATCTCATATTCAAAATCTGTGCCGTTATATTGTTCTCTCATATTCAAATCCGATGGTGGTGTTGATTTCTTGCATGACATGCACACTCTGGAGTTCTTAAATAGTATAAAATGTTCTAGTGTTCCAAATCATGAATTGCACTTACAGGTTGGGACTCCTGTCATGTTGTTGAGAAACATTGATCATTCAATTGGACTGTGTAATGGAACACACTTGGTGATAATGAAACTTTTCACTCACGTGTTTGAATGTAAGATTCTAACAGGATCAAATGGTGGACATAAGGTATTGGTATCAAGACTTTCCCTAACTCCATCTGATCTCATGATACCCTTCAAGTTCTAACGTAGACAATTTACTCTTATGTTTTCTTACGCAATGACAATCAACAAGAGTCAAGAGCAGTCGTTATTCCATGTCGGACTTTACATGAAAAGACTGGTGTTTATTAGTCCTGGTCAATTATACGTTGATGTGTCTCGAGTGACTAATCCACAAGATTTAAGATATTAATATGTGGGGGGACGATAATGGGGAAAAGAAAACTACTAAAAATGTTGTCTATCAAGAAGTTTTTCATAATTTGTAGTACCATATAATATTGTACTTTTACTACCTATTCAATAATAATGTTATTCATTTGTCATTTACTTTTTATGATATATATATATATATTAATGTATTTATTAAAATATTTTAATAAATATGTTCCGTGCATCGCACGGGTAAAGATACTAGTCTAATAATTAAACGAGATGTTAAATAAATAAAAAGTAACGTTTTTTTGAGGGAAAAAATTATATTGCCACATAAGTATAATTTAATAGATTTTATTAAATGCTCATGAGCCAGCAATTATATATAGATATATAGATTAGTGCACTTTTTTCTGTGTTTTTTTGGTTCTTTTTTTTATTATTTTTATTATAGTTGTCTTTGCCCTTGCTTCATTTTTTTTTCTAGTTTTCTTTTAGTAACTAGTACAATGCTCGCGTATTACACGAGTGCTTATAAAAATATACATATTATTATATATTTAGTATGAAATTTTTTTATTTGTGCGACTTACTTGTGTTATATTATAATAATTTATTTAACTTACAACATTAACTACATTAAACATAAATATATCAATTGAGAAATAATTTTATTTTCTAATGAATTTTAGTAAATATTATTTTTTATTATTGTAAAGATAAATATAATTTATTTTTTTCATATATACAATATAGATGCCAAATCGAAGATCATCAAAAGATGATTAATTTGATATATTATATTTGTAAAACCGATAAGAAATACAAAAGTTATCAACTTTTAAAATACATTTACAATTCAATAGCTAATTGTAGGAAGCAAATC